CTTCTTTACAACTTGTGTTGCCGCCCTTCTGTGAGTGACAGCGGCAGTCTCTTGACGCCCAGACACTGGCGTCAGGGTGTCTAGCCCAGTCTGTAGAAGGGATGTTCCGCCCCCTTCATAGTGTCGGCTTTCCCTCTGGGACGCCATATATGGGCTGGCCTATTTAACAATTCCCACGCCACGATGTATGTAGCACAAATATGTTTCCTCCCGTGTTCAACAGATCTCTCCTTGTAACTCTGGACATAAACACCTTCCACTAAATTGCATTAATTCTATATCTTGCCAAGGTGAAAAAATACAAAGAGTTACAATGTACTTAGTCACCGGCCTAATGATTAAAGTGCTTTACAGTTCCAGCCGGCTCCCGAAAAGGGGAGGGGCCTCTAAAGCCCACAGCGGCAAACTTGCGTTGGTTGAAAATTTGCCACTTTAGTAAACTAAACAAGGGAGTTCACCCCTTGGATCCGTTCATAGTTTAAACAAGTAAATACAAATTATTGCTCTCTTGTCAAATTTTTGCCGTTTTTCTTTACGGGCGTTTGTGATCTTTGTGACACACGTGGGTTTTCCTGCCACATTATGTGTCAGTGCTGGTGCCATGCCGATTTCATGCTCTTAGCTACTGTGCGATCTATGTCGACATACTGGGTGTGCCTGTAATCATGTCAGCATCAAAGCTTGGCAATAACAACAAAGCCACGTGTTGAATCACGTCAAATTTCGGCCCAATTTTGCAGAACAGAAATGGCACAAAGGAGATTAAAAGTGCCTCATAATGAGACACTATTAGCAGGCAAAACAGACGTATTTCTTATATTATTTATAGTTACTTTTTTGCATGTAGAATATTACAACTTTGCACACCAGATGCTATGTTTAACATTTAATTTATCTCAGAGTCTGTTCTTGGTTGTGTCTGATTTGGAGTATCTTCTGTATTTTGTGAAGATTCCAAGCTGCAAAAATATAAAAATTACTAATCAAGGATACGTTGTACATACCTTAGAAATGACATTTTTTCCCTTTGGGTATCCCTCAAATGGCTGCTTTTTAAGCTTAAATTTTTAAAAGCTCCGCACCGCGGATGGGGGGCACATACCCCCTTCCGCCCCATCCCCCCTCTCGGTCGCTTCGCTCCCTCGACGTGCGTCAGGTACCACTACGCTAAAATAAAATCCTAGCTAGAACCCTAGTAAATCATTGTTTTCCCTTGTGTTTCTCATTCTTTCCCTGCCGTGTGGTAAAATGTGGTGAACCCATCGCTGTATTTGCTCCAAAGCAAATATTGGCCTTTCTAGTTTATTACCTCCGGGTAGGGATGTATATCCCGAGCGCGGAGGTTTTGTGAGGGAAGACGAAAATTGCGTTCGCAGCCGTTTCTCGCGTTTGGGTGGACGGATATGTCTGGGACTTGGTATACGTTTTGCTGTTGGGCTGTAGATGGTGCACGTTGTTTTGGTTTTTAGTATGTGTGTTTTAGTGCGTGAAAATGATGCGTTTAGACCGCCGATGGACACCCCTTTCAGTGTGAAAGTGGGCCTCAGCTTTTGACCTTTGCATGTATAATCACCATTGAGGTCGCGACCACTGATCTGACCTTTCACACAGAGGGGTGTCAGCATTCTTTGAAACTGTTCAGATGTGAACCACATGTGCCGTCAATCAACGTCTCATTATCGTGCCTGGTGGGATCGCGCGGGTCGCAGCCAGCCAACTTCCGGGTGGGCCAATGGGTCAGGGGTCAACGCCCTCTTGCGCAATTTCGGATGTTTTCGGCTTACAAATACCGTGGTATACTGTCTCAGACGTTCTCGACATGCATTTCGCGTTGGGGTAGACGGGACTCGGTGTATCTTCTGTTAATGGGCTGTAGATGGTGCAGTTTTTTTTTGTTTTATTGTATATGTGTTTTGGGGCGTAAGATTATTTGTATTTCCTTTTCGTGTCTCGGACACCCGTTACTGTGTTTGTTTACATTATCGCTGGTCGCTGAGGGTCGGGCAGCCAGATTCGCCACGGGATGCCTCCTGTCCTTTCTATTTTTGGGCTCCAGTCGGCTAGGGGGGATTAGTGATTTCACACATCATTTAGCCAATTACAAACATTTCGAAACTTTTCGAAAAAAATGGTATTCGCGCGAATTCACTAGTTAATTCAAAGAACAGTCCCAACATGCACCCAACATTCTGCAACATACATTACAATACCCGGAGGTACAAAATCTACGATTTTCCTTGTTAATATTTCAATTTGATAACATAAGATAGGGATTTCTATGTCATGGTTAATAAAGCTCCTGTCACACATTCAGAACCTTCTCCCTGTAGCATACGTAGTCCAGTGGTTTAATGAGCGATGCTGCCTCTGGACCAAGAGGTACATGTAGTTCGAGTCCCTGCAGTTGTTGCACACCCGACATGCATAGGGATGTGTACATAAACGTCACATCAGGTACAGGTACAGGTACAAAGGATTAGGTACAGGTCTGGACCCGAACTTGTACCTAAACAATTTGACTAATCAACATGTACAGCTACCAGTACACATACCTAGACATGCATGCTACTGGAAAGGTTGCAGCCTCTAGAAGGGATGTGGGTACATGTAGTTGCTAGTCTTCAGGAGACCATGCTTGGCAGTAATATGTTTCTTCCATTGGTCATCAAAGAAACAGTGTCAGTTTGTTGTTTTCATAGTGTTTGTTTGTTTGTACAGTCCCTATAATAACCATATTTTTCCTTCCACAGATTGTTTGCTACATATACTTCACAAGAATAATAGTCTACCTGTTGAAGGTGAGTTTTACATTATCTGATTATGATATTTAAAAAAAGGAGAAAAAAAGTGTGTTTCTTGTTTCCCATCCAACCCTAACAAAAACCCACCAACGCTCTAGCCTTTTTTGACCACTGGTTAGGCCATAAAATTTTCCACCTGACGTATGGATTTACAAAGATAATTTAAATGCAACACATTTTCCGAATTTTTCTTCAGTAAATCAGGTGAAATACAAGCAAACGTGCTGCGCTCAAAAATTTGTCAATACATTTCAATATGCATTATCAATACATGTACTGTTCCCTGTAACTGCATACATTGTACATTACATATAAATACTTTGCGGTTTGGAACGCAGTGCCTGTGCTGTGCAATGTGAACCAGTCAGATCTGCCCTGAGGAAGGTAACAGACGGTCACTGAAATGTCTGCTGATGAAATCTCTCTGTAACTTGCTCGTGTACCCTATTAGAAATTATACAATCATGAAACCTTTTCACTTAGCCAAAGAAATCCTCATAGGGTGGAAACTGTGTTCTGCCACATTATAGTACAGTATACATATTTTTTTACACATGTTGCCCCCCCCTCCCAACCCCACCCCAGATCACAGTGCCGTTCCAGTATGAGTGGCTGGGTCAGTTCTTTGCGGAGCTGGCCACATACGTGTTCTTTGTCATGACGGGTTACAAGTTCCGCCCTGCCTCCAACAACCCCTACCTACAAGTCTCACAGGAAGACGAGGACATCGAGATGGAAAAAGTGTGAGTAACATCTTCTTATCTTGTCCTGTTATAGATAATGATCTGCCCTCATCTCTAACCCCTAAGGCCACACTGACTTGATTTAATGGATGACATCCTTTCCCCAAAGTATAGTGCGCGTGGGGGAATAAGATAAATTCGAGCCAAAATAAAGGTTGATTAACAACAGAGATACAAAGCTGGTGTTGTGAATTTGCGGTAATGCATAGCGACTGTTACGACAAGTCGGTTGAGTTCCATGGAGCGTCGGTATCCTGAGTGCTGGAGGTTTTTTTTTTTTTTGAGAACAGGGAAAATCAATGTATGCCCAGATGTCATCCTTAAAATTAAATAGATGTGGCCTAACCCTTCAAAAATACACAGTACGTATGTAGAGGGGATTCATTTCTCAAGCTAACCAACACCTCACACACAACAGTCCCTCAGTAAGACATCTGGAGCCGCATAGTTCCCGTTTATTCAGCCTGCCTTCAAAAATAGACAGTTTATCTTAACCTAGTGCTGAGTATGGGCTCTTGCACAGCCCCAAATTTACCTGCACTAAGGTGCATATGCACCCACTATTTGGAACCCTAGTAGTGTACCAAACAATCATGTTTGTTGTTCTCTCTCACAGTGTAACAGAAACAGGCTGGAACGAGGGCGTGGTCAGGGTCAACCAGGGGGGCAAGGTCACCAGCACCCAGGACGGCCTGGCCAATCCCAAGCCACCAGACAACAGCCATGACGCCTAAGCAAGCAGCTGTGTCATTGGACAGTGTGAGAAAAAAATGAGAAAGACTTCTTGCCAGGAGATTGCACATTGAGGAAAACTTTAAAATTTGAAGAGAAATTTAAAGGCATCTGAATGCAGTTTTTATGGCTTGGAAACCAGATTTTTCAAAGTCAATATTCTAGTCACTTATCTACATACTGAGTTAAAACCACACTATCCCAAATGAATGTATATTGACCCTTATGGAGCAAAAATTCCCAAAATTCCAACAGAAAATGGTTACTGGAAGGGCCCTTTGCTCATTTCTAGGGTACCACCAATAAAATGAAGGGCTCATCTTGGTGCTTGTTTCTGCACTTTCAAATACCCAAAGTATCAAATGCTGATTGAAATGTGCTAAAAATTAGTAAAATCATAAAGATTCAGAATATTTCCAGTTTTGCTGCTCTGAAATGGCATTGGATGCCTTTAACTTTTCTTACTATATAATATGCCAGTGCAATTTATTCTGTAATATTTAAAGAAGAACCTTATTTACAATGTATATGAGTTGCTAGTCAGAACATTCATTCATATTTCTCATCCATAAACTCTAGTCTATTCGTTTCATTTTTAATGACTTTTGAAAACTTCATGACTTCGTTTGAGCTAGTCTCTCTGAGGTGTAAATATTTTTGTAGTATTCTGGTACTTAATATCCACATTAAAATCATACACAAGTAGCTGTGTAACAAAGTAATTAGTTTGACTTTTGTTGGATATGACCACAGACTAGTGCTGTGTACCAGTTTGCTGGACCAGTTCCGGACTTGTAAAATGTTGAGGTTTACATAAAAAAAAACTAGAAGTCAAGAATCGATTACAGACTTATTACAAAAAAAAAAAAATGTCACATACCCCTTTTCATTCCAAACCACCTAAAACCGTAGCTTGCAAAATTTGTGCTGCAAACTGAAGGAAACATAATGCCATCAGGCATCGTCAAGTGTCGGCCTCCATGTTATGTTGCCAAAGTTTTGCCCAAACAACAACATATCAAGGTTGCCAACATGCAATTTTGTATATGCCATGGATTTAGGTCAGGACTTACGAGTCCGGAACTGAACCCCTAAACCTCTGGACTTGAATCCGGACCTGAACTTAAAAGTGGGTTTAGGTACACAGACACTGGTTTTCTAGTGATAGAGACTTGAAGTCTACTCAGTATTGTTACCATCATGCCTTTTGTAATGGTAAAGAAAGTGAACACTTTAAATTAACTGATTAGGTCATGACATATTCATTCAAATTCTAGAAAGATTTGATTGTGTTCTTACTATTTTTGGGAAAACTACCTACATTAAGACTTACATTGTAGTGCGGAAAGCGGTCCATGTAAAATAATGTATAATGAGCCAAATTGTAAATGATATGACTGCTATATGTGTACATGTATATAAGATAAAATTTATGAAAATAGTAATTAGTATGCATTCAGAACAACTAAATATAATGTTCAGAATATAACTGAATGTAAAAATTTGTATTTGTTTGAATTGGCCAGTCAGTCTTACACATAGTTGCCAAATCACCACACAGTATTAACATGGAATACTGTTAGAGTTGTATGTTTCAACTTGCTATTCTTTAGTGTACCTTTAGGCCACAGAAATCTAATTTGTTGGTTTTTAGATTTTATTCTGAAAAAATATGAAAGGACAGGGCAAAAGAAAACTTTCCAATAGGTTGAGTCAAATTTCATTCATCAAAGGAAAAGATGTCATGGACAACATTTCATCAAAGATATTAATTATTTCGTGAGATTTCATTTCTGTATATGCCCAGCTCTTGAGACTGTAAAATTATTGAAGTTGTCCCATGCTTATACATGTAAAAAGGAGCTGTTGTGGCTTACATTGTACTGTAGAAAATATAAGTGTATACCCACCACTTGTACCGTATACTGTAAATCATCTTATATTCGTGGTAGCAAAATTTTGCGGCCTGAGAAAAATGGACAAATGAAAAAATGGTGGCAGGTGCGGAAGAAAGAAAGTAGGCGAATAATTTGTAGTACAGAAATGACCGCGAAAACCATGAATATAAAGCAATTTACAGTATACATGTATAAACATAGCTCAGGGAGCACTATATTGAGTTTTTGGTTATTGAAGTAGTAATGTACAAGTACATACTTTGTAGTAAATACAGGTAAAGCACCTCATATTAGTGTTTATTTGTCCAATATATAAATATCCAAACAAGGGATGATGTGAAAGTTTGACAGGGTCATACAATGTCATGTATTGGTGGTAACCAAAAAGACTTTCATTATTTTAAATGTGAAATTTGTCTTACAGTTTTCTTTGAAAGCAATAAGATGTTTTTTTATTTATGTTTCGTCTGTTGAAATATTTTGGGAGTTGTCTTTCACTTGTGATTATGATTTGGAGGCGAAATTCAAGTCACTTGAGTCTTTGGCTTCACATTTAAATAGTTTCATCACTATTATAATATAACAATACTATACAGGCTTAGATATTTTTGAGCAATAGTAGATTTATTGTTTATTTCAACATTGCACGCTGACCTTGAACCCATCATACTAGAGCTTGTACTTCAGTCTTAAAATCCTAATAATTACATCGGCAGAATGTACTGTGCCTGGGCAAATCCCAGATTTTTCAAAGGATGTTTGGTCAAGGTTAAATCTGAGTTTTGCCCATTGCAGACAATGTCTTTTCCAAAACAATGTTTGAAAACTAGAGACAGAGTGTCATCCTTAAACACGTGAGTACAGCCTTTAAGACTGAAATGCTATGCACAATACATTATCCGTGTAGGCGCAGTACATTGTACATTATCCTGACGTACCCTGTTCGTGAAATGTTTTTAAAAACGTTCTTTTCCTCTGCAAGGCCTACTTGTGAATCTCCAGTTTTTCCATGGGTTAAAAACACGGACACTTGCAGCACGGTTCCCCAAGTACCTTGTCCAACAAGTCGGCACATTTCTAGCGAAGCAGGTATCATCCTCACAATACCCGTTAAATGAGCTGTGCATCTGGGCTATATGCTATAATAGTTGGTCATTTTGTCATAAATATTCTGTGTACACATGTTTGAAACATGAATATTCTGAATACTACGGGTCCTTTCTCATGTCAATCCTGCTCACTCGAACGTGCACAGGAGGTGGACACGTTATTGCTTCTGTGGGGTACACAAATCGCGTGCTGTAATGACAATAAAAATGCTTTCTGTTGTCCCTTCAACCGTCGTTTTTACCATTTTCAATGTCAGTGCCGGGGGAGGATCAGGGGAAAATTTTAAGCCAGGGGGAGGGTCAGGGAAATTTTTTTGATGGGCCCTCCCCAGATAAATATCGTACAGTCCCTTAGAGTGAAGCGTGCGAATTTGGAAAATACTAGCGAACAATGAACAAAGAGAAAGACAAAGACAAACAAGGTCAAAACTATAAATTAAAGTATCAAATATTTGACGGATACAAATGGTGGTCTCGAGCTCACAAATGGTGGGAGATAGAACCGAGCGATGGGGAGAAAGTAAGGTAAGTAATGTTCGAACAACACAGGATACTGACAGAACTTTAAGGTAGGTGATGCGTTTTTAAATATTCATGTCATTGCGTGTTGATGACAATAGGCAGTCTTACACCGGAATAATGAGAGCGTTTTTCCAGGTGAGTAACACAGGTGTGACGAGAATATCTCGATGTTGATTACTTTTTTTCCTGATTTTGTCACGGTATTAAAATATGTTCATTATGTATGTTCGTCACTTCTGTACCGCGAACTTTATCATTACCGTTAACAAATAATTCTCCGACTTTCTTTTCTCTGCACCTGATATCACCAAGTCACCCCAAAATTATTGGTATGAAATATAAAAACATAAGAAAGCAAATATTACTCGCATTTACTGTATTCCATGTTGAGTTCCAGTGGGCGTGTGGGTTGTATTCTACGTCATTGTTCATAATATTTTAGCTTAATAACAAAGCTATTTTTGAACATAATTACAGGACCTTTGCTGTTGCTATGCCATTGTACCGCATATTTGGAAAAACATTTTGCATATATATATCACCATAGTACGACCTAGTCGGGGCAGTTTCCTGTGCTCTTTTTGGCCTTCGTTTTCGGAACAATTTGACTCTTAAAATTTCTGTTCAAGTGACTTGACTTGCAAGAAGACCAACTGTGTACAGTACGCCTCTCTACATTTCAGTAACATCAGACGGGACGGTCTCCTCAGCACGATCAGCGGACATCAACAGACCGTCCGCCCGCCCGGACGCGGCGTGATGGCGGCACGAGTTTTCACGGCTACGATCATCTGCGGGCTGCTGTTTACCACAGGTAGGGGATATACTTACTTGTGGATTTGTACACAAACTTATCAAGATACATAACAAAAGTGGGATAAAAGCAGATAAGTTTACACTTGAATATGCCATGAAGTTGTTGTTTTATAAGATAGGCATGTTTTTTTATCACTAGCAGTGTGTCACAGAACTCGAGGCATGTTGATAAGGTTGAAGGTTTTGTCAATGCTTACAGCTCCTGATTACTGACCCAGTGGGTCGCAGACAAGCCAAAACAGGGTCATCGATTAGTTTTTATCGACTTGGGGGCATACCGATTCCTTGTCCCTTTAACATAGTTGTGGTCTTGTGACACGCACAAAGTATGTAGAAAATGTCTTGCTTTGTTTGTTCCACATATTCGGCAAACTGCTTTTGGGCGTAACACACCAGTTTTGTATATGAAAGTACAAGTTGCGTAAGACCGGATTGCAAGGTTTAAGACACTCACACTGGGACGGTCCCCTACTCTTTTCGATAAGTGCTGTGGGTTTTTTTAATAAAACGTGCGTGGGGTGTGGCTCTCCCCAAACACGGGACCTCCATTTAACATCCTATCCGATGGACGTCCCTAAGCAAAGCTGGGTACATATTTATACCTGAGTGAAGTGAGTAAAGTCGTGTAAAATTCCTTTCCCAAGGTGACAAGGTGGGGTTCGAACCCGGGACTCTTGGTTCCGAGTCGACCGCTACGCCACACGACCCCGTGACAAGCTTATTGAGCTACGTACTACTAGCCTTTCTCATCCGTTTCCTTTGTGGACGGGTTTTTCTGACAAGTAACTTGCAATTGATAAAATAGTGGTGTATTTGCCTCTCATGCGAAAGCATTTCATAATA